CGACATGCAGGCAGTGAGAGCGAGCGGTGCCTGGCGCAGACGTGTATGTGCTGGGCACCTCCACTGCAGCAGACAGCCCCGCCGTGCTGCAGGCAAGCATCCACCGCCAGCGGCACACATGCATTTGAGATGCCGGCACCGCTTCCCGGCCTCACCCCACCAGCCAGCCCTCCTGTTTGTCGGTTTGCCACACACCAGCCTGCGCCCTTGTGCCACTGGTCCCCCGGCTGCAGGAGCTGGCGGTGGCGGCGCAGCGCTACCGCGGCGGTCTGCTGCTGCTGCTGGATCCCGATGTGGCTGGCCGCCAGGCGCGCCGCACGCTCGACGACCGCCTGCCGGGCTGCCTGCACGCCTTCCTGCCCTCGCCCCTGGCCACCGCCGCCGCGGCGACCAAGTGAGTGGGCGTGGCCTGGCCTGGCCTGGCCTGGCCTGCCGCTGCCACGGCAGGGCTTGCTGGGGGTGGCGAGCGGGCCGCCTGTTGACTGACTGTGTGGGCTGGGCTGTGTGGTGTCTCTCCCCGCGCATGCGGCCGTGCAGGCACCACGACCAGGGCAATGTGGGGGTGGAGCATGCGGCTGCGGCCACCATCCGCGCCGCGCTGGCGGCTCCACGCCGCAGCGACCCGCAGCGCCAGCTCTTTGAGCGCCACCACCTGCTCAGCTGGGGGCTGGTGGCGGAGCTGCATGCCCGGGTGGGTGGGCAGCCTGGCTGGCGCACAGGGAGGAGGGGTTTGCAGGGGAGGAGGGGAGTGAGCAGCACTAAGAGCTGCACAGTTGGGCGCTGTGTGGGCATGCGCCGCCAGCCGGTTGCTGCCTGCACTCGCCCATGCCGCGCTCTGCTGTGGCGCTGTGCTGCGCAGGGGGGCAATGTGGCGTGGCGGCGCAGCCAGGTGTGCGCCTACCTGGGCCTGGGCGAGTGCGACGGCAAGCAGCTGCTGAGGCAGCTCAACCGCTACGGCTTTACGCGGCAGGAGGTGGAGCGCGCGCTGGAGTGGGCAGAGCGCAGCGTCGGCAGCGACGGCGCCGCCCAGCAGCGGCAGTGAATGCCGGCTTAGACTTGCGGTACATTGGAGGAGGCTTACAGAGCGGCACAGTGTGCGTGGGTGTGTTTTGATTAGTAGGTGCGTAAACTCGAGGCATGACTGGCACTGAATATTGCGACTTAGGAACCCGAGAGCGGGCAAAACTGCTGGGGCTGAAGAAATGAAATGTGGTGCGCTGAAGGCGCACTGTATGAGTGGCGAAAAGAATGACGGATACGCGGAAAAATTAGGTGGGCAGGGGCCAAGGGCGGGAAGGGCTGCTGCGTCACCACTGGCCCTGCCGCCACTGCCGCTGCTCCCACTCCTCCCACTCCTCAGCTGAGGCCGAATACTCGCCGCCAGCTGAGCTGCCGGCGGTGGCGGAGAAGTCGGCCTCCGAGTCGCTGCTGCTGTAGTAGCTGTTGGGCAGGCCTGCGGCACACGGCGGGGGGTGTCGCTCAGCCCCTGCTGGGTGGGGCGACCTCACAGGGTGGCCTGCGCACCACACTGAGCCCACCACCACCACCACCACCACCACCACCAGTATCAGAGCTGGCTGCGCAGGCAACCAGCTGCCCCACATCTTGCGCCCACCTCCCTCCCGCCCCACCCACCCAGCCAGAACTTGAACCGCTCCAGCTGCACGTTCTTCTGCCGCGCCTCGCGCCGCCGCTGGTACGCTGCCCACGTGCGGTTGTGCTGCGGGCGGTCTGCCGCCGCCGCCGCGTCGCCCTGCCGCGCCCGAACCTCCTCCAGCAGCGCCGCATACTTGGCCTTGTCCACCTCGCGACCAACCAGCTCCAGGGCACGCACGGCCTGGGGGCAGGCAGGCAGGCACGCACGCAGGGCAGGTGAGACTGTTGGGGTGCCGTCGGCGAGGCGCTGACCGCCCCCGAGCCTGCCCCCGAGCCTGCCGGCACCCGGGCCCGTGCCTGCGCGCCAGCGCACATTGCCTGCCGCCACACCCACCTGCATCGCCACTTTGTAGTCGCCCGCCCGGATGGCGATGTTGGCCAGTATGTCGAGCATCTGTGCATCGGGGCTGCCGCCCGCTGCGTGGAAGCGCTTGACGGTGGCCACGGCGGGCGCCACCAGCAGCTGGCGCGCGTAGCCCGCAACCACCGCACCAAACGCCTCCACCGGCGGCGGCAGGCCTGCCAGGGTGGGGGGCAGGGCAGACGGGAGGCACACATGCCAGTGGGCCTGCAGCGGCAGATGTGGGCCAGCTGCGGCAGAGCACGCCCAGCAGCGCCCAGCAGCAGCAGCGGGCCAACCAGCCCCAGCAGGCCGGCAGGCAACCAGCAGCAGCACCAGCTACCCTCGCTGCCCCCGGCCCTCCGCCCTCCGCCCTTCCCGCACCCACCCACCCTGCTTGCTGGCCAGCTCCGCGGCGGACGCCAGCATGCGCTCCGCCGCCGGCATGTCTGCGTTGCGCGCCAGCGCGTCCACCAGCGCGTTGTACGCCCGCAGGTCTGCCGCCGCGGAGCGGTCGCGCAGCAGCGCCTCAAACGCCGCCGCCGCCGCCGACGCCTGGCCCAGGCGGCCGTGGGCATGGATGAGGGTGGTGTAGGTGAGGCCGTCGGGGCGCAGGCCCGCGGCGGCCAGCCGGCCCGCCAGGTCCAGCGCCAGCTGGAACTGCCCCGCCGCCACCGCCGCCGCCATGAGGGTGTTGAAGGTGTCGGCGGTGGGGGCCACGCCCTGGCCCTGCATGTCGCGCAGCAGCGCCAGCGCGGCAGCCAGGGCGGCGGGTTCGCCCGCGGGCGGCACCGAGCCGGGCGCCGCCGCGCCGCCGCCGCCGTCGCCCGCGGCGGCCGCCGAGGCGGAGGCCGCCTGGGCGGCGTAGCCGCGCAGCAGTGTGTTGTAGGTGAGGGCGTTGGGCGCCTGCCCCGCGGCGCGCATGGCCTGCACCAGCCGCCGGGCTGCCTGCATGTCGCCGGCGCGCACGTGTCCATCCACCAGGGTGGTGTAGGTGACGCAGGAGGGCTGCACACCCGCCGCCGCCATGTCACCCAGCACCGTCTCCGCCGCCGCCAGCTGGCCCGCCTGCCAGTGCGAGCAAAAGGAGGGAGGCTGTGAGCGACACCAGCCCAACGCCACCACCACACCAGCGCTGCTCCTGCCCACCAGAACGCCACACCAGCGCTGCACCCGCCCACAGCAACACGGCACCACACGCGCACCACCCCCACCGCCACCCACCTGCACATATCCCTTGATCAGCGTGCTGTAGGTCCACACATCCAGTGCCACCCCCGCCGTAGCGGCGCGCTCCGCCGCGCCGCGCGCGCCGGCCAGGTCTCGCGCCCGCACATACCCGTCCACCAGGGTGTTGTAAGTGACGGCGCTGGGCTGCACCCCCCCCGCCGCCATGCGCTGCATGAGGCGCGCCATGGCGCCCGTGGCGCCCGCCCGGCCGTGCCCCGCCAACAGTATGTTGTATGCGCGCACGTCGGGGGGCGCCCCCGCCGCCGCCATGCGCTGCAGCAGGCGCTCCGCCTCGCGCAGCCGCCCCACATCCACGCACGCCTTGAGGCCTGCAGGCGCGGCGGCGGCGGCGGGGAGGATCGGCCAGGGTATGGGAAATGGTGGTGGTGGCAGGGGGCTGCGTGCCGGGGAGTGGAGCCACCGGGCTGCCCAGCCGAGGCGCAGCCTGGGCAGCCCGGCAGGCTGGGCCTGGTGCCCCGCGGCGCCAGCCTCCCACCTGTGCGGAAGGCGGCGGCGTCCAGCTGCGTGCCGCTGCCCGCCAGCTCCCCCCACAGCTCGTGCGCGGTCTGGGCGTAGCGCACGCCGCGCCGCCGCCGCTCCCGCCCCAGCGCCGAGATGAGGCCGCAGTAGGTGACAACGTTGGCCGCCCGCCCGCCCGCCTGCATGTCGCGGAACGCATCCACCGCCGCATCCAGGTCGCCGGCCTGCTGGTGGGGTGGGGGGGTGAGGTGACGGTGGAGAGCCGTGGTGCAGGAGGGCTGGGTGCAGCCGCCTGCCGCCACCGCCCATCATCCGCCTGCAGCGCGCCCGCCTGCCCGCCAGCCGCAGACCAGCTGTGCATGCCCCAGCCGCCAGCCCCGCACACCTTGAGCGCCAGGGTGATGAGAGCCTGGTACGTGTTGTACTGCAGGCTGTACCCCGCGGGCGTGGTGGCGGCGTACGCGCGCCATGCCTCCTGGAACCGCCGCCGGCCGCACAGGGCTGCAGGCGCGGGCGGCATGGCGCGGGGGCACGGCACGGCAAGACGCTGGTGAGAGCAGTGGGCAGGAGAAGCGGCATGGGCACGTGGCTGGCAGTGACGTGGCTGGCGGCGAATGGCTGTGGCCCCAATCACAAAGCCACGTGAGGTGCTCCTGCTGCTGCCAGCTGTGAAGCCGCCACCGGCAGCGGCGCATCGAGGCGGGGCGGGCAGGGGCGCACCATAGATCAGGCGGTCGCAGACGGCGATGGGCGGCAGGATACCCTGCTCCAGCAGCCGCATGAACTCCTTCCAGGCAGCCTCAGGCTGGCGCCTGTCCAGAGCCGCCACCAGGGGCTGCCAGGCGGGGTTGCCGCCGCTGCTGCCGCCGCCGCTGAGGTTCACCGCCGGATTCCTGCCGCGCGGCTTGTCCGCCTGTGCGGCCTCCACCACCTGGTAGGCCGCGGGGCGCCGCTGGGAGCGTCCATGGCGCACAGGCTGCTGGCTGAGGGTGTGTGCAAGGGGTGGTGGACGCAGGGCCGCGCAACTTCGGGAGGATGCTGCCCGGGAGGCGCCAGAGACATGGATGGATGACAAAGTTATGTGGAGTGCCTGCAGGACTGTGGCCGAAGCAGCCATGGTCTGCAGGCTACTACCGCAGGGCACAGCTGGTGTTGACCTCAGGGCTCGGCGCCGCCCTCCAGCAACTCTAGAGGCCCCACAGACCAAATGACATCAAATGCACTTAATTCCAGTGGCCTGAAACTGAGTTTGGGGGTGGAGGAAAGGCGAAGAATAAACAGGCCTGCCTGAGCAAACGGCAACAGCTGGCAGCGTGGCCCAGCAGGATCTGATGGGGATGATTTCGCAAGGGTTGCATGCATCCAGAAACAATGGACAAGCCGGTCAAGCATGGCGGCGCACATGTGCGGTCCCCGCCACCCGCAGCTTCCCGTCCTGCCGCTCTGCTTGGGCGTGTGCTGCCAGCCCTCAGCTGGTTGTTCAGGTTTACGTACAAGTCTACATACAGCATGCAAGTGCGGTCCAGCATCCAGGCTGCACTGAAGAAGTAGGAGGTACGAGAGCAATGTGGCGGCCATAGGTAGGCAGGGAGGCAGCTTAGGAAAGGGAGCATCATGAAATGGGGGGGTCTGCACTCAGCATGGAACCAAAAAGCTGGGTAGGGTGCTCGGCCGGCGGCAATGCCGACGGTGCCAGGAGGAAGGATGGTCAAAATTGTGGGAATGGCGTCCACGGAGCAAGTACAGTTCGAGCTGCATCCAAAAGGCGAGCTGCATCGATGCATGCAGGTGCAGGTGCAGGTGCAGGTACAGGCTCAGCTGAGCACTGCCTGCCCAAAGCCAAAGCCAGACATGTCTGACAGTGCCTCTGAGCGGGCCGGCGAGGGCGGCGGCAGGCGGCTGCCCTTGAGCGACTCGCCCTCCGCCAGCCCCGGGATGGCCAGCGGCGGCACCTGCAGCCGCGGCGGCAGCACGTAGTTGGCGGCACGCAGGTCTGCAGGGGGAGGGGAGGGGGCAGGCGGGCGGGGGGCGGCAGCAGGCGTCAAGCAGGCGGCAGGGCGCGTGCGAACCGGGAACCATGAGGGCAGGCCATGTGCGGCATGTGCAGGGCGAGGCCGCTGCAACCACCGAGGTGCAGGGACAGGAGGCGCTGCCCCGACTTCCCCTGCCCCACTCCAGCCACTCCCAGCCGCTCCAGCCCACACACCCACCCGCGTTGAGGTGCTTGAGCGCCTTGCCCAGGTTGCGCCCCGCGTGGCGCTCGCCGTACCGCGCCCACACGCGGCGGAAGTCGGCGGCGGCGGCGATGCACACGCGATGCAGGGCCTCGCTGGTCAGCAGCCCGTCCTCGTACGCCTGAGGCGGGGGGTGGTTGGGTGGGTGGGGTGCGAGCGTGGTGGGTGAATGAGCAGCAGTGGGAGCAAGGTGCAGAGTGCTGGGGTCCCTAGCCAGCCGCACGAGTGACACCCGCGGCCAGCCAGCCAGCCAGCCAGCCCAGCCGCGCCATCCGGCCCACCGCCTGCCGCCCGGTGCGCACCTGCAGCGCCATGCCCACGTGGCTCTTGGCAAAGTGGATGCCCCGCTGCTGCCAGGAGGCGTGCCACTGCGTCTTCACCGTCTTGCTGCTGCGCAGCATCGAGTAGGAGTGGCCTGCGGCGGGAGCGGTGTGTGTGTGGGGTGGGGGGGGGGGGGCATGCCAGGGAACAGAGTAAGGCAGTGGCAGGGGGGCACCAGCTGGATGGCGGTGCCTGCCTGCCCGGCCACCAGCCCCCGCCTGCCTGCCGCTGTGTCTGCTGCCGCGCTGTCTGCTGCCGCGCCCCCCCCGCCCTGCCCTGCCCCTCCCCGCCCCTCACCTGTGGGCACCACCTTGTGCATGAGGCAGGCCAGCAGGCGGCTGCGCTGGCCGGGGGGCAGGTTCTGGCGCATGGAGGACCAAAGGATCTCGGCGCACAGCAGGTCGCCCTGCGGGGGGCGGCGGGAGGCAGGGTGCGGGGTTTGTGAGGCGCTGAGCTGGCGCACGGCTGCTACGGCGGGTGCGAGGCTGCGCGGCGGCCACTGGCTCAACCAGAGCAGGTCAGTGCAGCCTGCCGGCCCGGTGTGCAGTGCATGCCGTGGCCCGGGCGGCGGGCCTGCAAGGGAGCCAAGGCACACCGCCCAATGTGCGGCGCCGCACACCTGGCCGTTGTCGCCGATGAGCACGAAGCAGGCCTCGGGGTAGATGGCGGCGTACTCGCGGAACCGGCTCAGCTTCTTGGCCGCCAGCTGCTGGTACAGCGCTGCACAGGACGGGGGCGCGGCGGGGCGGGGCAGGGTGGGAGGGGTAAGGAGGTCACATCGCCCCGGCCCATCAGCACGTGCCGACCCCAGGAGGGGTGCTCTGTTGTGTGGCGGCGAGGGGGGCACTGCCAGCTGGCGGCAGCCGGCCCGCCGCAGCCGCCCGCCGGCCCAGCAGGGCCGCGCCCACCTGCCACCGCGGTCTTGTTGTCCTCTGGGGGCGCCAGCGCCGGGAACCAGGTGACCACGCCCAGCCACTGCAGCAGCGCCTTTGGGCCTGCAGGCAGCCCACGCATCACGCCGCCGCTCAGCGTTGCCCGTGCCGTGCCCACCAGGCAGCTGTGGCTGGCCCGTGCAAGCGCACCCCGCCTGCAGTCCCACGGCTGGAGCCGCGCCTCCCCCTCAGGCCCAGGCGCCCCCCAAGGCCCAGGCAACCCCTGAGGCCCAGGCAACCCCTGAGGCCCAGGCAACCCCTCAAATACACAAGGCGCCCGCACCCGAGGCCATGGCTCCCAGCAGCATGGTGGGGCTGGTGTCCAGGTCGCCGCGCTGCACAAAGGGCTGGAAGTACTTGCGGTACGCCTCGCTCTCAGTCATGCCCTGCGCTCGGAAGCAGGGTGGGGCGGGCGGGCAGGGTGCAGCAGGCAGGCTCGGCTGGCAGCACAGGCAGGCGGCGCGCGGGGGCCAGGCGCCAGCGCTGCCGCTGCGGCGAGGCAGGCGTGGCTGCCGGCCAGCGCCACCATGCGACGCCAGGCAGCCAGGTAGGCAGGCGGGCAGGCAGGCAGTGGGTGGCGCGCCCCGCATGCTGACACCCGCTTGCGCCTTGCCTTGTAGGACTCGGGGCGGGCCGACAGGAAGACCAGGTTGCTGCCCTCCTGGTGCGGCTGCACCGACGCAAACGGCGGCTGCGGCTGCGGCCCGACCAGCCCCTCGCTGCCGCCGCTGAGGCTGCGCTGCTGGGTGAAGGCGTGACGCGACAGCGGGCCGCCGCCGCTGGCGCTGGTGACCAGCGGGCGCAGGCGGGAGGTCAGCGTGTCGGCCAGTTCCGCGGTGCCGCTGGCGCCGCGAGGCGCCTGCGTCTGCAGGCTGCTGGCGCCCCAGGTGCTGCCCGCCAGGCTGCTGCCGCCATCGTCCGGCCCCAGCAGCGCGCCGCTGCTGCTCTGCGGCGACATGCCGCTGGGAGACAGCAGCGGCTCGCCCGCGGGCAGCTGGCGGGAGCTCTGCGGCGACATGCCCAGCACAGCCGCCCGCCGCGGCGGCGCGGGCCCCGGCCGCGGCGAGCGTGGCGGCCGCCCAAGGCTGCCTCCGCCGCCGCCGCCGCCGCCGCTGCTGTTGTGCCGCAGCACGGGCACGGGGATGGGGGGCGTGGGTCGGGCGCCGATGGACGCAGCCATCGCCAGGTCTGGCGCCGAGCCTCCCCCTGCTGCTCCTGCCTGGCCTGGGGCAGCGGCCGCGGCTGCGGCCTGCTCTGCGGCGGCCGCCGCGGCTGCCGCAGCCCCGCTGCTGCTCTCGGTGCGCCCAAACGAGCGCCCCCACGAGAAGGTGGGCTCCGAGGAGGGCTCCGGCGGCGGCGTGGCATCCGCATCCTGCGCCCGCGGCGACCCGCCGGCCGGGTCGTCCTCGCATCCGCTGGCATCCCCGCTGGTGGGCACCGTGGCCGCCGTGCCCAGCGTGCCCAGCGGCGCGCCGGGCAGCACCACGGGGTGCCGTCGCTGCTGCATGCGCAGGCGGTGCAGCGCCGCCTGGTATCGCCGCGCAAAGCAGCGGTCCAGCTCGGCGTACAGCGCCAGCGCTCCCGGGTAGTAGCACTTCCTGCGGGGGGGCAGCCCGGCAGGGGGCCGATGGCGCACGGCTCAGCCGCATGCCACGCATCACACACATACACACGCAGCGCAGCCGGCGCCGGGAGGTCGGGCACTCATGCACTCGCGCCCCTCGCCCTGCACCTCCTGTGCCTGCCCCTCCAGCCCTCCCTCTCC